TCTCTCCAGACGGCCGGGGTGGGGTGTGTGTGGGTGGGTGCAGGGAGAAGGGGTCAGAGAGAGAGAATCCTTTCTTCTCCTCTTTGATTTATACCCACTTTCCTTGGGTCTGTCCCCTCGGTCGACCCACAGATCTATGTATCTCATGTATGGGGAGGGGTAAGGTGTTTCATGGGATGATGTAATTACCACGATCATGTCAGCTCTCATTAGCATATTGAGGGGTGTTAACTTTAATATGCATTTTGTGGATAATGAAGCAAAGTTCATTCACCAGACACATGGCCCTTGAAATTTGCCCAGGTGCCCCAGAGCAGAGCCGTCCTGTCTCCACAAGGCTCTCTCCCCCAGTTACATCGGTCAGCGTTATCAGCTTCGGCCTCCGCAGAGTGCACCCCGTGACTCAGAGTTTTGTCTTGCGAGTGTTTGAGGCATTTCTTCAATCAGCCTCAGCTTTTGCTTTCCCAGGCTGTTTGTCTTAGTTTCTCATAGGCCTGGTTTCTCGTCTCTCACAGCCTCCCCCAAGACACTCACCTATGCCTCTGGAATCATCTCATGAATTAAAAAATGGGCAGATGTAGCCAAGGTCTCCATTTCCTGAGGAATACTTGTATTTACTGTCACTTTGCTTTGAGACAGCCTGTGTACTGCATTGCATGGTTTTGCACGTAATCAATAAAACTGAGGATTTCCACTCTACATGTGCAGAAATAACAGAAGAGCATGCCTTATTCTTTCTTGAAATATAGCCAGACTCTTATCTCCATAATACAAACAGCAGAAGTGGGAGGGATATCTAATCCAATGAATATTTTATAAAATATCAAATCTAACCATATGCTAAACAAGAAAATCATCAAAGGAGAACATGACTAAAGCCTAATGTATGCAACAGAGAACTGTGTAGTGTTGACAAAGTTCAAAGATACTAGTATGCAACACTGAAACACGGTGAGGCTGACTTCTTCAAGACGTTCAGTGAGCCAGGTTCCAAGACATCTGATTAAAATGCATGTTTTAAACAACAGATTATATAAATGAAAACATATATCTCAAAATGCTTGATCTTCTATTTTAGTTATTTAGGAAAATGTGTAATCATATTCTTTGTGTATTTCATTTTACTTTCAGCTTAGACCATATAACGGCTTTTGTCAGTAAGATGTAAGCCAGTTTTCCCAAATGGCTTTATAGTGTGTCATGTATATGGACCAAGGCAAGACGTGTCTTTTTCGGTGTTGTCCATCCATTCTAGTTATTTCCTATGTAATTATAAATGCATAATTACTTATTTTTGCATAGACAGCATTTATCATATTTTTATTTTTTTTTTAAAAAGATGAAATCAGGGTAAATTAAAATTAGATCATTAGACATCAGATGTCCTAAGGGAATTTCAGTTTCCTAGTAATAGCAATTTCAGTAAGATCCTTAAATACTCAGAATGTTTCCAAAACCAGTGAATGGGTTTAAGACCATTCAAAGCCATCTAAAATTAAACGTGTTAATCCAGAGAGAGTTGAGGAAGAATAAGTAATTTAGTCATGTTAATTCTTGATGTTGAAGAGGGAATTCAGCACTTCTTTGGTGTGAATGAAATTTTAGATACTAAGGGTTTAGTCTTCATTTATGTTTAGCCATAAAGAGACTCACTACTAGATTATGTAAACTGTAGTAGAAAACATCATAAAGATCAATAGAACTATTTTTCTTAGTAAACATTATATTTCTTAACTAGTATTTGTATGATCCAATTAATATCTGATGAAATATTATCTAGTCACAGCATAAATCCAGAAAAAAATCCTCACATGGAAGCTTAAGCATGTGCTTGTTATAATTGTCTCAACAGAATATAATATATTAATTAGGAAAAAAATATTTATTGACATGTGGCACCAGAAAATACAGGCTTAATAGCATGGTAAGCAAAAATGTTTTTAAAGACCTTCTAAAGATCTCTGAAGCTGATGACAATCTTTCCAGGACTATGCATGCTGAAAGGTCCAAGCTAGTGAAAGGGAGGTAGAATTTAGCTGTTGTGTTCTCACTCAGTCTGTCTCCCAAAATAAAAAACTGTGTTACCGCTCACAGTAATCTCCAAAAGTGTTAGGCAGGCTGTAAGTACTGTGCTGAGTGGTTTACTCAGAGTTTCTTTTGTATGTACCCAGACTGTCATAATTGTTCTAAGTCTAGTTCTGGTGAATGTCTTACTTTTTGTTGTGCTTTTTAAATTAATAATATAGATGTAGCCAGAAAGGGACAGTTTGAACTTTGTTGCAATCTTCTAGCAATGGTAGAACTGAGTGCAAGTCTTAGTTGCTCAAGTCTTAAAAGAAAGACCTTCTCTGAAGAGCTATTTTGAAGGATTTGTCTTCAGAACCTTCATCTTACTCTGTCTCAACCAGAAGTTTTGAAGATTTTCTCCATGAAGAGAGGGAAAGAAAGGGAAAGAAAAAAAAAAAAAATCAGAAAAGTTTTATTCTAATTTGTATTCCAGTTTAAAAAAAACCCCAACTTTTGTAATACAGAGCCTTTTTGTGCTTTTGGAAATATAGAGAAAATTTCAGGCATTTCAAATTTTGCTCTTTGGTGTTTTCTCACAAGTTTAAGTTAGTATTAGTTATGCCTCTTCATGTTTCTGAAAGAATTGGCACACTATTTTTCATCTAAAAAAAGCCCAATTCCCATGTGTGTTCTGTCTAGGTAAGGGGTGTTCACCTCAAGGAAGTGAGGTGCTTACCTGTCAGGTGGTATTACCTTAACATGTATTTGTAGCTCTCAAATTTTGCAGAAAAATGTAGCTGAATTGTTTCTCATATTTTCTTCTGTTACACATAGAAAATGTAATCTTAACCCATATTTCTGTAAATTTTAGTTCAGAATGTAGAAAAGTTAGATTGTAGTTCAAAATATTATGTGAAGTAAGTCACACCATCTTCTTGAAGATTATGACATCAGATACATTGTAGGTGAATGTTCGTGTAATGTTTTCAGGAGTTAATTTATGATAGCTAGTCTGTTATCTTGTGAAACTTTAGAAAATTGTTTCAATTTTAAATTGATAACTAGTCAGTATCCACCGTTACAGTAGAATATGATGATGTTAGAAGCACTCTTCTTCAGCTTCTGCATTCAAATTCTCTTTGAACCACCATCCATTTGCTTTGAAAAATGCAGTTAAGGAGTTACACTTATATATATGAAAATAACACTAAAAAAAAATAAAAGTTTTAATTCACTTCTTAATGGAAATTGCTAAGAGTTATTGTCACACTAGCAGTGTAAATTGCATTTTATCCATTGTTTTGAAATAAATCCTGATGCATACATTCAGATAATTCTCAGTTTGTAAGGACTGTCTAAGATATGGGTCAGTTCAGGGGAACATATTTGATAGGGCATAGCCTTTTATTGGATGTTAGTGGAAAGACTGAGAATTTGGGCAAAGATATAGCAGTGTTTGTCAGTACCTTGATTTATATTTGCTATTTTCCCTAAACCACTTACAATACAAACTGAAATTAGTACACTGGATGCAGATTTTGCAAGTCTTAGGGAGTGTACTACAAGGATGGATTTTTAGATGGGTTTCCAATAGATAGGTTAGTCTGGACAGATCCAAAAAGTCCATGACTGAACATGTGCTAACCGTGGCTTTAGGCTCATAAATTACTCATGAATTCAACTTGTGCATACCTAATTAATGATACTTAAGTTACAAATTTGACATATACTAGTCTCAAAAATTCAATTCTCCTATTTCTGGAAATTTCAGCCTTATCCCTTCAGGTCTCAAAGGACCTCTCAGGTGGTCTAGTCTGAGATCGTAGAAAATACATGTATAGAGTTTGATGTTTTTCTGTTGTACAACAATATGCAGTGTTTTCTGTGGCTGATAAATGTATCTTGATAAATGTCCTGTGGGTTATACTCAGAGTAAATATTCTGATTGAGTTCTTTACTAAATGAACCATTTCCTATGTGACAATAACCTGAGTTGGCACATATTAGCTGATGTGCCAACTCAGGTTATTGTCACATAGGAAAGGGCTCATTTAGTAAAATCAAAAATAGACAGTCACTCTAATCTGGTGGCTTCTTTTTATATTGATGGATTGAGTTATCAGAATTCTTCCCATTCGTCTTAGATGAATGGTTTTTCAGGAAGAATCCTGGAGCTGCCTATATCTTTCTTTGTTGCCTAGACATAAAAATGATTAACATCAGGAAATATGTCCCCCAATGCTGTTGGCATACACTGAGAGAGCAAGTTGCAGGACATTATTTCAGTTCTTGTAACTTTTCACATATTTATTTGTGTTCATTAAGCTGTCAAATGGTTTTGAAAGGCTCATTTTGTTTTTCAGTAAGGAAAAGTTTCCTACTCTTGCTGAAAATTATGGTAAAGTTTAGATTAAATCTTTGCAAAAGGTTATTAATCTTAGCATTTTCTTTAGAGATACACAACTGTTTCCATGTTACTTTCAGAAAAAAAAAAAAAGATACTTCCATGTTATTTTTTTAATTTGTATTTTTAGGTAAAGCTCTCTTGAGTCAGTGCATAATTTTTAGGTGCATAACTGATCAGTACAGTATTACTGTATACAACATTAATTTACCTATAACTTTTAAAAATTAAGTACTTTATTGTCAAAAAAAAAGTTGATAACATATTCTAAAGTATTTTGGTTGAAATTTTGGTTCCATTGAAGTCAGTGAAGTCAATTTTAGTCAGTAATTGTTTCTTCAACACAGCTTGGCCATTCAAGACCTTAACCTATATATAGTTGGATTGCATTAAATTATATTCTCATATATATAGGGGTATATAGATGTTTCATAAACAGATTACACAAATAGAGAAAATTTTATCCATACCAAATGTTGGTATTTATATATATAGTGTAAAATCTGTGATATTGATTCATTGTATTGCTGTATTTAAAATACTTAAGATAAAGTTTTTAATTTATTTTATTAATATTTTTCCTTTTTAGCTTCCCCATGGGTAGATAAAAGTCGAACTCCAAACAAAATAGATCTGTATGATGTTCGCAGAAGACCATGGTAAGCTTTCTTTAAAGGACTGACATATGTATGTCACTTATTTTCTAGATATGACTGCAAGACAATTTTTTCTGATTATTTATATCTAATAGTCCTTACTTTTAGATACTGCTATTCTCTTTTCAAAAAATCAGTTAATTCTTCTGAACTAACAATTTTCAAGTATTCCTTGTTATGCAATATCTACTATAGTGCATCATACAAGATAACAGTGGGGTTATTTATTTTTTTTTTTTTTTCTATAAGCCTCTCAAGGCATAATATGTATTGATACCTGGACCCATGCTAGCTGGATATATTCTTTCAAAGGATTAAATATATTTCCCTAAACTGCACTGATGTAATAATTCATCTGTCATCAAGATCTCTAGCTTTGAAATAGCATTCATGTTTTTCAGTTATCAACATCTGAATTTTGATCCATATATCCTACTTCCAGATGTTTCTAATGTGGTTTAGATTTTGGTTTACTTAGATGACACTGCAAGAGAGAAAATGGTAGCACATGATTTTCTACTAGCTACAACAGGAGTTCAGTGAGATTTATTTTAGAGATTGCAGAGTGTCTTCCATCACATGCAACAAATGCGTTTTCAAATTTGTGTCATTCATATCCTTTATTTCTTTCAGGTATATCCAAGGAGCTGCATCTCCCAAAGACATGCTTATTTTAGTTGATGCGTAAGTGTTTAATGTCTGGATATTGACATTAGACGAATATCAGCACTAAAATGTATCAAAGAAATCTCTGTATGCTGAAAGATTGAGACAGGATTAAGAAGTACTTACATATGCAAGTATCAAAAATCTTGGTATGAACAAATTAAATACACAGGAAAAAGTAGTTCCAAAAAACCCAAACCAAACCTGAAAGGTTTTTAAACTGGGCACAAGGAAGTGTTTTTTAATCACTTCGGTATTATTCTGCTTTCAGCTTCTTAATTAGTGAAGTAATCAGTTGAAATTTTTTTCATGTGCATGCCAAGATTTGTGCATGCCAAGATTTGTTGTAAAACACATATCTAAAACCAAATTACTAGAAGCGTAACAGTAGATTTAATCATGATTTCATGAGCCAGAAAGATGAGAATGTATGCAGACTTGATATGTTTGACCATACGTACTTATAAAACGCCAGTTTTGGTTATGATAAAACATTGTTTAGCTAGTGTTGAGGGACTGAACCTGATGTGTCAAACAGATTACTTCATGCTGAAAAAATTCTCAGTAGAAGAATTTGCATTTAATGCTTTTACATGTGGTGAAGTGCTTTCATATCAGCAGTGAGTTTTATCAACATTTGTTATTTCTTCACTTCATCTTAGGTTTCGCCTTGAATCAAACATGCTGCGTTTAGAGTATCTGAAAATCTAAAGCTGTAAATCTGTGTGTAGGAGTAGAAAATGTTTAGATAATGCATTGATTGAAGGTGATAAACTATCTCAGATTTCTTGAAATGAAAATGAGGAAATGATGTACCGTTATGACTTCACCTGTGCCACGGGACTGGGGCTTTGAATAACAGTTTTGGACTTAACTTTTTGTTATAGTAATATAATGATTCTAATGATGAGTTGGAGAATTTAGGAGACGTATTGACAAATTTAGTGTGAGAATTGTGAGAGTGCTGGTTAATGCTCTGTATTTTCCTTGTATGTTTTAAGTAACATTTTTTAAATTCAACTTTTCTATTATCTCATGGATTTCTGTTAGGAGCGGGAGTGTCAGTGGATTGACATTGAAGCTGATCCGCACCTCAGTCATTGAGATGTTAGAGACCTTGTCTGACGATGACTTTGTGAATGTAGTTTCAGTGAGTATTCTGTTCTTTCTGCAAAATTTTTAGTGTCAACAAAGCCATAAGAAAATTATTTTTAATGCCAGATATGAGATACTTAAATGTCAAGCTGCTAAGAGACTTAAAATATATTGCAAAATACCACATTTGGCTTACTGGTTTCTTGTAAAGTATAATAAAAGTCCTAGATTTGTTGCTATCTACACGTTTGAGTGAAGGGCAAAAGTCATTTAAACAAACTTCTGTGTAGTCAGATTCTCCTTTCCAATATAATTCTGTTCTGTGTTACACATCTTCTACTTGACTGGTATATGTAAATTTTCTTGAAACAATACACTTCACACTTGACTCCCAGACTTAAAACTTCTGTTTCTATATAATAGAGTGACTATATAGTTCTTTAAAATAGTTAGTTTTGGGGGTTTTTTGAATGGCATTTTCATCTTTCTAATAGTTGCCTGGAATTTAAAGTGCACATTTCTGAATTTCAAGAAAGCTGAAGGCAAAATAAAATAGATTTGAGGAGGGGGAAGTTGGTATGGTGTTACAGAGGCTCTCAAATAAACAAGCAAGCACCAAAAATTAAAAATTCATTGTCAACACAGGTAACTAGCCCTCTGCAAACTACAGGTTCGAATGTCTGTGAGAGGAGAGCAGAGCAACTTCCTAGGGTATAACAACAACCTAAAACACAGAACAAAGCCCCGCTCCCTAGGGTTTAATGACAACCCAAAATGCTTTATCACTTACATGACAAGTGAGGGCTCTCGACCTCAAGGACCTGCTCAGGGCAGCGTCCTGACCCAAGGAACCTTGAGGAGTTTCCTTGGGCAGTGTCCTGACCCAAGGGGAGAGTCCTCGACCGCAGCTGCTGCTCCAGGGGCCGAGCTCCAAATGGCTCCCCCAGGGGACTCCATTGATGCCCAGGCCCAATCTGACCTGAGGTCAACAGCGGCTCCCACTGCCCAAAGGTCCCAACTACCATGAAGCCCCAAGAATAAAGGCAATTAGTAGCTGCTACACTTCATAGAAGTCCTATTTTCGTTGGGCGAGTGCACCTGCCACATATGAGCATCTTTCAGTTTTCAGGCTGATACCTTGGATGTCATGCTCTAGCCTTGGGCAAGGCTTTTTTTTTGTTTTTTATTAAGCTGTTGAACAGTAGAGGTTTGATTCTAAGGATTTAGGATGGGAACATTGACTTACTCTTAATGACAAGAGACAGCCTGTGTGGTAAGTAACTGGAATGATTTTGGAAACAATTTTCAACTTCCACAGATGTGTTGTAGCCAGCCTGTGGGGAGAAAGACCTGAAATATCAGTATCAGAAATCTCTTTGAACACTGCTTATTGCTTCATTGTTTGCTGTCAGTCTCGCTAGACCTTTCTCCAAATAATAGAGAGAAGCTTTTATTCACTATGGCATTTCCTTTGTTAAAGTTTATAACAGTGGATTAGATCATTTTCTTTAGTCTAGATTGCAGTGAAAAAAAAAAAAAAAGAAACTAATGTTTTTATTATTATTATTAAAGGAAATAAGCTTTTCTGTAATGACATTAGAGAGCTGAAATCTTGTTGTTAGGTTCACTGGTTTTAAAAAGTAAAGACTGTAATCCTAAACTGCTGGAAATTGATTACTGTGTTCAGTGGAACTGTGCCAGCTTTTAACACTGGAAAATCTGAACCCCCACTACCTCCTGGTTTACACAGCTTTCCAAACTCTTTCCTTCATTTGTTCCCAGCTGACAAAAAAATAGCGTATCTTAATGCTAAACCTTCCTTAGATTCAGATTATTTATGGATAAAGTTCAGTGTTATTCTAATGAGGCCCCAAGGTTGGGATTTGTGTTGAAAAAAGGACGAGTAATCTTTGAATTTTTTCTACAGTACATTTTCCCAGTGGTTTGTAGCTTACAATATGGAAGTACCTTTCTTCTTTGAATGAACTTTAGAGGCACGCATCAGGTGTTTGCCTACAGAACTGAAGAGGATTTTTGGTCATGCTGCGTTCATCCTCAGAGGAAGGCAGCACTCACAGAAATATACATAATAGAACATGGTATCTCTAAATCATTTATATAGTGCTATTTCTTGTTGTGCACTTATTTGAAAGTCCATATTAGATCCTTTCAGTATTGCAGTTACTTTTGTATAACCTATGTTTTCATGTGTTCAGATGGCTTACATATTGGAATTGTGAGAGACGTTGTGTTTTGACATTTTATTTCTCTGCCAGAAAGGGAATCACTGATAGGAAACAAATCCTTGTACTACTACAAGGCATTCTTTAAGCAAGAGAACTGAACACAGAAGTTTGGTCTTTTCTTTTTTAGGATTTTTCCTTTTTTTTTTTTCAGTTTTTTCAGTTTTTCCACAGTCCAGCCAAAGCCTCACACCGAAGTTAAACACCAGAGGTGACACTGCTTAAGAAGGTGATATGTTATCACACTTAACATCATTTGTTCTTAAGATTATTCACAAAAGCATATACATAGGTCTAATAAAGCATTCATCCACTTTACTCATCCGCAAAGTTGGTATTAGTTTCATGTATGTTGCTTCATTTTTATGTTTGATTTAGATATCTTGGCAGTTGAAGCAAGACAAAATACATTAGAAATATCATTATGCCAATCATTTGGTTAGATCTTTGAAAATTACATACGTGACATTCATTTAGGAGGATTTCTTAGAAGGCCTGAGATGTCATCTTTATTGAAATACTAAATTCTTCATTTTACTGCTTAGTTTTTTCCACTTATTCTTCCTTGTATACCTTTAGTAAAAAACTTAATAATTTTTATATACTGTGTTAAAAGGCAGGGGGTTCATTAATTCTTGTCTAATTTTAAAATAATCTCATTTTACTTTTTTCTAAATGAACTGAAGTTCATCTAGAGATACAGTGATACACAAATGATCACCCATTATGAGTGGTGTTTCCCAGGGCTCAGTATTGGGGTCAGTTCTGTTCTTTATCAATGATCTGAATGAGGGGATTGAGTGCACCCTCAGGATGACACCAAGTTGGGCAGGAGTGTTGATCTGCTTGAGGGAAGGGGACGTTTAGATTGGATAATAGGAAAAAATTATTCACTGATAGGGTTGTCGCCATCCCTGGAGGTATTTAAAAGTCATGTAGCTATGGCAGTTAGGGACATGGTTTAGTGGCAGACTTGGCAGTGCTAGGTTAACTGTTGGACTTGATGATCTTAAAGGTCTTTTCCAACCTAAAGGATTCTATGTTTTTATGACCATTATTCTTCACAGAATATTCCATAACAAAGAAAGCATGTCGAAATCAAGTCCAACTTCAGTGCTTTCTTAATAAAACCAGACCCCAAACATCAATTTAAACATTTCTAGATTAAAGAAATGTAGATTCATTCAATATGTTTCATGTTACTGCTGAAGGACATTTTCTCTTGAAACATCCCGGTATTAGACATCATTGGCTAATTAAAAAGTCCAAAAATCTACATGAAAATTTTCAGTTAATACAATATTAGTGGATGGATAGATGAACACTAGCAATAACTGGAAGTTTTCTACAGTTTTTCTTTCCCCCTGGTTCTTTTGGCCAAGAATGTAACAGTTGGTTTATGGCTTGTTAGCTTTAATATCCACAGAGTGTTTAGTAATGAGGTTTTGAGGTAACTAGAGAGTTGTTTTACTGCTAACCTCTGCCAAGATGTTGTCCCACAAAACCCATATGTATGATGATTCATGCCCACAACTGAGAGACACAGATTTAAGCTCATGCCAATCACTTCTAGAAAGTGACAGGATGATTTAATGAACCATGCCTGGTATATGAAGAAATCCTAGGGAACAAAAAGCTTAAAAGTAGATGTGTTAAAATACATTAGTTCTACTAATTTAATATAGTTCTTGCATTTATTTCCAGTGGGAAAAGGTTGAATGAGCTATTAAGACATGTAAAGATTACCAGGGGTTAATATGTCATGATTTCCTCTGGGATTTTTCTTATCTGAAGTGTTGTGCTTTGTTGCCAGAAGAAAACCTGCTGTTTGAAAGAGCTTAAATGTATGAGTAATACAACTGTTTTCCCACTAATCCGGTTATATGCTTTGATAGCAGTAACTGGTAGATGATAGTGGCAGCAATTCCATCCCAGCACGTTATGATTTAGTGACTTGGTTTTAAATGTTGACACAGAGAGTGTAATTTATTTATGATTGCGGGTAGGCTGCAGTTTGCAGTAATGTATTTCAGCTTCAACTTCAGATTTGTAGAGGTATGGAAAGCACACAAAGGGAAAATCTACCTTAGAGCAACAGATATGTTAAAGGTCAGGAGCTGTAAGGCTGTTTAAAATCACTTAGCCTTTGTAAAAATCCAAACTAGTATTTACTGTTTAGGAACTGGAAATTAAATTTTATGAGTGCACTAGGGATAATAGAATTGGGAAAATTGAAAGCTCATCTCCTGCTCTTATGCAATTATGCACATCAACTAAAATCAGAGGGAAGGAGATTTCTGGATGAATTTATTTCAAAGAAAAAACTATGCACCCAGCCTATGAAATTATTGTTGGGACTAAAACCAGTCTGTGGAAGATACACCCCTTTCCCCCTGATTTTTATAGCAGTTTATCATGTAATTCCCACAACACAGTGGTTGCAAACTTGTTTACTTTACCCCCCTTACGCCCAGGTAGATACAGTCTTTATGCCTTCTTAATTAAAATATTTAAGTATCATAATACATGAAAAAAATAAGTTTTTTTAAAAACTTTTCAATTTATCAAAGGGCTCTTTTCTCTTTCTGCTGCATGTTGTCTCCTGTATTCTGCAGCTCAGATTGCACCCATGTTCTCCTAGATTCAGGGAAACATTCTTTCCTTCTGAGAAATACTTTCTTAAGCTTGTTTAAAAACTTAACAAACGTAGCATGGGTGGAAACCTTAGTCTGAAGTCCCACAGAAGGGAGGAGGATGCTAGATTTTGCAGCCAGATAGTTTTGTCGTGTTTATGCTTTCTCTGTTAGAAGTT